TGCAAGCTTATCACCAAAACCACCCAGATGCAAGTTGGACTCTTTCTCAGAACAGGTAGATGCATGAGTCACTACCATATAAGGCTTCAAACCTGAAACCAGGCCATAGGAAAAATGGAGTCCTTATCACTTCAGCTACCGTCTAGGTGGTTTCTCAAGACATACCTTAGCATAAGATACTGGCAATAGCTCTATATAAAAAGAAAAAAGAAGGCGGCCTCTCCCATTGAACAAGCAAAAGAGACGAATTGTTTAGTTTACCGTCAACAAGTTGAGTGATTCCAACCTGAGTGTCGCTGCTGTGAATCCAGTGAATTTCCATAGAAGAAATGAGAGAAAGAATCAGCTTTGTCTAACCATAAGTCTAACAGCAGATCTCTTCCCTCAAGAGTTTCACAGCTTCTGAGACTCCATCCTGAAAATTGAAGAGTACGAGTTCAAATTACAGTTTATGAAAAACTACAAAAAAGTAGATAACTTATATTACAAAATAGGGAAAAAGGAAGTGTTATTTGCAAAGGAATATTGGATAGGAAACAAAAAAAATTGAGATCATCAAGAAACCACAAGACAAAATATGTAATAAGCCAGAAATTTCAACATCAAAACTAGGCTTAAATAATTTCTCAAATCAGGATTAGTTTTTGTTGCCCCAATATAAAGCAGATAGATGCAGCAAATCGGACACAAATAGTGCATTTCAGAACAAGAGATTCTAGCCCTAGCAGGGATGCATCACAGAAAACTTAAAGGTATCAAGGATAGGTATAGAAATATACCAACATAAAAAGCTGGATTAGGGAACTGTATGAAGTTAAAATAATTAAATATTACTTAGGATACACTTGACCAATCTGGGTAGAGAATGCAAAATGTTTATGACAGTATTACCTCACAAGAAATTCTTTCTGAAATTCTTAAAGCACATGCTTTGATTCTAGGAGATAATGCGTCATGTATGGCTTTTGATAGCACAATTGCAGCTTTCCTAATGCCAGAATCATTCATTTTCTCTGGAACTAAGTGGTTTCTTTCTACTGGTTCTGGGGCAACTCCAAGCCAAAACATCTTCTCAGCCCAGTAGAACTGATCTAGCATAAATGGACATATTATCTGCCATAAAAAATAACTGACTAAGAAAGATAGAAAAATTCCATAGGGGTTTCTTTTATTCAAGAAAACTAAAAATGCAAACATGAGGTGAAAAAGGGAGAAAAAGCATGCCAAATCTAATGAATTTATATTCAGTATAGAATTAGCTATTAGCACTCAACCCATCCAATTGAGTAGTACGAAATATTTTCAGCATGCTCACATACACACATACACATCTATCATGCATACAAAATTATAAACAAATTCATTTGTCCTTTCCTGAAAGTTCAAGTTAGCACTGATTGCAAGAACGATGCACCAGGAAGCTCTCAAACTTTTATCAACTTGATATTTGAAATTCCTTCTTGTGCATGGAGTTGGCAAGCTATAGCCTGCCACTGAGAGCTACAAAGGGGAGTTCAAGTTTTCTTCATGCTAAGGCAACTTCCAGCAAGTCAATTGTTTGGAGGTTACCTCAAGATAACTTTAATGTAGCATTAACTAACAGATAAAAAGGCATTCTTTTCTCATTTCACAAGCAAAAGAGATATAAGGTTTAATGCCATAATAACAAACCTGGGGGATCCCAACCTGAAGTGC